ATTTAATTTTTTATGTTAAAATATATCCGGTGTACAAAAACGTGCAGTTAGATAGGTAAACAAATATTATATCTTTGTAATATCTCCTGGATGCATATATGCGTTATTTATTTCTATATAAAAAAATTCATGTGTTTCGCGAAGTGCGCGTTTTGGAGCCGAATGTATCGCATCTATTGTTGCCTCTTTCCCGCGTTGCCGATTGGTTGGTTGGTTGGTTGATCGAGTCAAATCGAATCGGTAAGATCAAAAGAGTAAATAATGAAAAGCGATTTTGAGACAGTTCGTCGTATATGTAGAGAAAATTAAAAAAGTAACTAAAGTCACTTGACAGAAAAGAGTAGAAAAACAACACGTAAAAATAACGTGACTGTAATTTATATTATATATAACATTAAATAATACATATTATACATATAAATTATTATATATTTATAATATTATACTTTATATTGTATTATATACATACTACAGTAATGTCACTGACCTCCGCCGCGCGGCCTTGGCGGGGTCATTGACCTCGGCCTCGCGGCCTTGGCGGGGTCACTGACCTCGGCCTCGCGGCCTTGGCGGGGTCACTGACCTCGGCCGCGCGGCCTTGGTGGGGGGGTCACTGACCTCGGCCGCGCGGCCTTGGCGGGGTCATTGACCTCGGCCGCGCGGCCTTGGCGGAGCACTGACCTCGGCCGCGCGACCTGGACGGGGTCTCTGACCTCGTGATTACTCACGTGATTACGGTATATATATAATTATATATATATGTGTGTGTGTGTATATGTGTGTGTGTATGTATGTGTATTATATGTAGATATAGAATATTATCTATAATATATGTATATTATATATAATATATGTATATGTATAATATTTTCTTTTTTATCCTTTTCTTTGTCACGTGACTTTAGTCACGTGTTGTTTTTCCATTCTTCTCTCTTTCTTTTATTTTTTGAGTTTGATTTTCATGTGTTATTTTTGACATCTCTCGTAGGTGTATTACATAGTTTATAACATGTATATTTTAGCTGTCATCGCGGTGACAGGTTGTGTTCACTGATGCAACACATGAAAATGAAAACAATAATAGCGTGCGCGTAGCGCGCGCTTGTGTTGTGCTAGTAGATTTTTAAAAAATAAATACAACGCTATAGAGTCTTCAATTTCTCTTCAGATTGTAACAGATGTTTTACGAGTTAGAATAATTGAATATTGTTTGCAATTCCTTCGGTTTATTTCGTGATTATCGACACTGGAATCGTATATATGTTGTGTATACGAGTCATAAGATAATTCGACGCTCGGGCTCTGCCGCAGACAGAGTGTATTATACTAAAGCAATAACATAAATAAGAGTTTTACGCTTTGTTCGACGTTTGCTTATTCTTGCACAGAGTAAAATCTTTTGATCTTCTCTTTCAATTTATAATATTTTTATAAAGATGAAAAAAGAGAATTTTTTAGATGAAAAATGTGAGGACTTTTTATCGGAAATCGCTGAATATGAAGATGACAGTGACAATTCTGATATTAACAGTACAATATAGATCGCGTATGCTTTCATCATCCTCGATCAGTGAAAAAGATATAGAAACAGAAGAAGAAGATCAGTCAGATTTCCATCCAGCAAGAAATAATAAAAATTTCAAAGGTATTGCCGGAATAGGAATCTTTCGAGACTCCATTTTATGAGCAGAGATTGGGTTTTGCAAATTTATAGTTCGCAGAGTACTGTATTTAACACACAAGTCTTTTAATTTATTTAATATGTGAGAATATTAAACAAATTGTTCTAAAATATTACAAAATGGTCACGCGTGAATATACGAGAGCGTGCGCGAGTCGTAATCGGAATTGAGACGGATAACAATGGCTCGCAGCCACAAAAATCTTTTAAAAATCGCAACGGAGATCTTTCTGAGCTGTTCTCAACAAAAATCTTCAAACGCCATATCTACGGAAATCTCCATAAATAATATACTCCATTTTTCTGACAATACGAACATCCATCCAAACGCAAACAGATTAAATAAAGTGCAAGAAATCATCGATTATTTTTTAAATAAATTTAGAAGCGTATATCAAGTTCAGAAGCGTGTATAAACTCCGGAACAAAATCTAATTAGATGAAGGAATGATGGAGAAGAAGACAACTTTCAAGTTTATAATCCAAATAAAATTATATAATATATTATATAATATATTGTATAATATATTATTATAATATATATTTCAATATTCTAATGAATAGTTTATAAAGTAATAGAAATGTATTCTGCTTTTGTAATCTGTTCACGCTTGACTTATTATATTATTGACTTATTTACTTGACTTATTATATTATTGTAATATTATATTATGTTATCATGTATAATAACTTTTCATATATAAAACAAATTGAAAACCATTAATTTCTGTAAAGTTTCCTATAAAGTTCCTATATCTTGGCAATTGCTTTCAAAGCATATACAAAGATACTAAATTCGATGATATAAAATTTCGCGCAAGTGCGTTATTTGTCTAAATGGTTTACTTTATAAATAAAAAAAAGTTGAGAACCACTGATAATTACACGTTAAAAAGTATTAAATTCTTATGCAAAAAAGCGATCTCTCAAAAATTTCATTGAAAAATATCAAATAATTCAAAAGTTATGAAAGTTTTTTTGAAAATATCGCAATTGCTCGCAATTTCACGAATTCGCTCCGTATCCGCGTAAAATCTGCTCTAAAATGCGAAGGTAGGATATTATACTTTTGTAATATATCACGAGTATTCACTTGGCATTAGCTTGGAATTTGTTGGCTATTTGGTCGCGCTATCAAGCACAGATATCGAGGTTTGAACGAGCGAGTCGAATGCGAGACGAGCCGGCAAGTAGATCAAAAGCACACGAGTTCAATTGGGAGATTTCTGTGGATATGGCGTTTGAAGATTTCTGTTGAGGACAGCTCAGAAAGATCTCCGTTGCGATTTTCAGAAGATCTTTGTGGCTGCGAGCCATCGTTATTCGTCTCAATTCCGATTACCTACGACTCGTACACGCTCCCGTATATTCACGCGTGACTATTCTGTTGTAATATTTTCAAACAATTTGTTTAATATTTTTACGTATATTATAAATAAATTAAGACTTGTGTTAAATACAGTATCAAAATGCATACGAAAATATATTGTAAATTGTGCAAATCTGTTAATTAAAATATCGGAATTTTTTCTCGCGCCGATATTTTTCTTTCTACATGATCTTCACGTGAATACCAGCGGGAGATCAACACAAATGTATGTCACAAAAAATATATTCTCGCTTATAAGTATCGAAACAAGTATCGTTTCCATTTCTCCATTTACCACTCTGTTCTATCAATTTTACATCTCAGAAGTGGGATCAATTTTACACTTCGCAGTGACGCGAACACGGCGAGAGGCGGGTGTATTATATTCGGGCGAGAGCACGAGCGAGCACTGTCGGTGCACTCGAGGACTCTCGTATCACTTGTACATACATTTCACACGCGTCGTGGAAACCGCGCGCGACGACAGGTCATAACATGCTGTACGTTTCGTTGTTCCACTCCTCCCGCCCGTCGTTAATGATCGCACACGTGTGTGTGTGTGTGTGTATGTGTGTGTGTATGTAGAGATTTTACGTCACACGGAACGCAACACATGTCGTATGCACACGTGGCGAAACTTATATTACAAGTGACACGATGTTCTGGTGAGTAAACACGAATTCCGGAGTTCGTCTGAAGCTTGACATTTTTTTTCCATATTTGTTTTTTACTAATTACATGTTTTTTAAAAGTAATCTCATCATCCTTTCTTCCCGCTTTTCGGCGCTTTTCTCGCATTAAGCTCTCAACGTAAACTCCACGAGAATTTTCTAAAATCGTGTCCCATATTGCACTGTAAATTCCGACTGCACCCGACTGCACGCTATATTCGAAGAGAGCTCAGGCGCGCATACGGTCGCACCGTCGAGCATTAGGAATAATCCTGCTGGGTCGCAGCAACCGCAGCTATGCGACATACGTACGATAATAGTTATTGCCGCTCCTTCCTATTAAGGAGAGACAGAGACAGGAAGAGAGAGAGAGAGAGAGAGAGAGAGAGAGAGAGAGAGAGAGAGAAGGTAGGCCGTTTCCGCGCTATGATATCTCGGCGATACAGCACGCGAGCGCGGGCGGCCTCTGTGGAAAGGTAATCAACGCCGACTGAAATTTCCAGGAGGTCGGTAAAATCTTTCGCGGTAACATTAAACCGAGCGAGAGTGAGAAGGATCCTTTTCCCTTCATTGCAATAAGGATGAAACGGATCGGTGGAGGAAGTGGAGATGGAGAAGGGAGGTCGTAATCAGACGAGTTCCAAGAGGACGAAGGAGACGACGACGACGACGACGACGACGTGGCGGAGAGCAATTTTCCGTTGAGAAACCCCGCTTGCACCCGCGTCGCCTTATTACTCTACTCCTGCCAGCTCTTTCTCTGTTTCCTATCTCGTCCTCCTCTCCACGTGGCAGAACGAGAGAAATCCTTTCCATCTACTCGAATCTTCTTCCTTCCGCGCGGCGCATTCGCGAGTATCCTTATTGCTTCCTGCCGGCCGCCGACGCTTGGCTAGCAAACGACAGGAATATCCTACCTATGTACCTCTACATATCTACCGGCGATGGTCGGAATTCCGACGTCCTTTTAGCTGTCGATAAAGTGTTTTAAAACGCCGGCTGATTTTTACGACGTCGGAAGGAAGAAGAATATATTTTTCTCGTCATGCTATGGATTCTTCACGTTTCTGCTCTCACATTTTTATGAATTCTTTTACACGGTCTCGGTCCAATCCTCTTCCTCTCTCTCTCTCTCTGGCAAATTTTCACATTTACGTTCGCATCTCTGCGCGATTGTTTAATATTACTGTTACGCAGGACTCGATCTTTTATTGTCCGTTATATATCAAATTAAATATGAAATACGTGTGACTTTTTTTTTTTTATAGGAAGTACATACCTTCGATAAGTTGGTCCAGCATGGCATAAATGTGGGAGGTCGCTTCGTCGGTCATTACCCATCCTCCGGTGGTCATCTCCAGACGACCGTCCTTAACTAATCTCTTCACGACCATCTTCTTTGTCGGGTGAGCACTGAAAAAAAACGAAGAGACGATATTTATCACTGTGATGGCTGCTTCCACAAAATAAAATTAAACATCCTAAGATCTTTCCTTAAGATCGGATAAAGTTCCCAACTTTTCCACGATTAATTGCACCTAGTAAAAATTTATAAGAGAAAAAAAGTACAACGTCAAAATACACACACACACACACACACACACATTTGTGTGTGTTCAACGCAATGTGTGCGCGCTCGATATAAAATTATAAAAAGTAAATAACACACAAAGAAATAAATATACGGACATTCAATTAAACTCGACTCGGAGGAAAAATCACAACTGCAAATTCAACGATTAACCAATAGGCGAGATTTACTCATGGATGAACTTGATTCGTGTGCTCTGCGCAAATAACCGCCACGAATGATCAATCCCGTTCGATGTGGATCAACGGCGGATTTAATCATTCTCGCGTGACTCGCTTTGCCGCGCGCGCTTGTTTTATACTACCTATCACGCAATTCGGGGTTGCAAATCATATTTATCGCTGCCGCCGCTGCATTTCAGTTGGGCTAGGATTTACGTGATTTGTGCGTCCGAGTGTTATGTACGACCTACATAACCTTCCCTATTCGAAGGTGGTTTCCACATTACGTCGTTTATGTCGGCTATAAAGCCGCCACGGATTCCACCTGCTAGTACGTCTGTTTCTCTCTTGCGCTATCTCTCTCTCTCTCTCTCTCTCTCTCTCTCTCTCTCTCTCTTTCTGTTCTCCCCGGTGGCTAGTAGGTTGGTTTAAGGTCGCTAAAGCTAAGGTGGTTACGCCCAGGGCAAACTGGGGCGTTTTGGGGATGAGCTTTTCCTCAACACAAGTTTGTTTAAAGTGCACCGCTACCAATACAATAAATTTTTTAAACATGCCGACAAAAAATCTCAAACTAAACACGGTTTCTAGAATAATGTGACGTAGTCTTTACGCAGTTTATAGTATCAAAAGTAATTAGAACTTCTCTGAAAGCAACATTACGTTTAGTTCCTGGATGGAGAGTAATGAAAGGGAGTTTTCTTGTAAAACTTATCTCAAACTTATCATTTCACTCGTTCTCTCTGAAAAAAAAGAGAGAAAGAGAGAGAGAGAGAGGAAGAAAGAGGGAGAATCTACTTTTATGCTAGCGACACTTCTCTGTCTTTCTCAGCTTTATCTACGGCTTTTCCACAGCTCGTTAAAAAGACAAGAACCGACGGTCCTTTATTCGCGCCAAGTGGTTCGAGAATATCCGCCAACCAGGTCTTCGATACTATCGTCCTTTCTCATCCTCACTGGCCTATTTTATGACAATCCATTTCGAGAGAGAAACGCTCGCGCGCGAGGAGCTTGCGGTTTACTTAATACACAAATGCACCAACGTTTGTCTTTAATTAACAGAACGCAGAAGCCAATGTCTGCATTAAAGCGGCTATGTTCTCTCACAGGAATAGAACATCCGAATCGTAAATTCGAATATCGAAGATAACGATGTGTGCACGCCGCGTTATCAAACGTGCAAAATCGCACGAGAATGTTGGTTCTGTACGTATATACCGTTTGTACGACGCTCTTTCTCTCCCTCATTTTATACAATAACTTACTTCGACGGGCAAATTGCAGTTTACTTAATATGCGAATGCACTGAACCAGTGTTTGTCTTCATAAGTGCATAATCGATGTTAATATACTCAAGCGACTGAAAAGAAGAAGCGAACCGATCTCGTTAAGATAACATTTCTCGCAAATCGGAATTTTGAAAATCTCATTTTATTTTTATTATTTAACTTTTACTTTTACTTGTCTTGCTAAAGACTACAAAGATATTTTTTTTTTTTGTTTTTTTTTTTTACTATCTCTCGTATTAAGTTCTCCAATATTCCGTTGCGTGCGTATTTCTCTCTTGTTTGCAAATATTCGATCGAGCTTGCGCACACTCACCTGTCCCACCAGAGTGATAAGAACGAAACCTCGCTCCAGATAAAGGTCATGTTCGGCCACTGCTGCAGCTTCGAGACCATGTTGTTTAGAATGCTTCTCGTCGAGCTGTGGAAGTATTGTTCGAACGTCTTCAGCCATCCGGGATCGGTGTGGCTGTGAGGCACGAGAATAACCTGTAACAAAAAAAACGCGATATCCACCGTCAGTTTTATTAGAAACGTGTCTCAAATAGCAAAATGCGAAATTCGGGTAAATTAATGTCGTTTTCTATAATCTATTTACGATTATTATCGATGAGAAAAGGTGTATAAATTGAATTTAAGCCCGCTTCGATTCTATTCGACTTGATTCTCGCGCATGTTCATCGGGATCTTTCGAAATAATCTACACACCGCCAAACCGAATGCCAATCCGAGTGCCGCTCTCAATTCTCGACAGACCAGTGGCGTGGAGATTCGTTAATTAGCTCGCACGACATTCGATATTCGGTTTGACGATGTTATAATGACGGCGTAATTGATGCACTGCAACATGCGTCTCGTCGCGCGTTATTAATCCGACGGTCGCTGCCGTTTCGATGTACATACATACGTAGGTACGACGGTAGAGCTTGCGAAACCGATTTGCGGCGATTTATTAGTTTACCTTCGGTAGACACGCTCTCGATAATGTTTAAAAAAGTGTTTCAACCTGTCTCGAGTGTCGGAGCGAGCGTGTCGATATTCAGAGTGTGGAGTGTGCAAACGACACTTTTATTTTTGTCACAGAATTGACCATGCGTGGCGCGATTTTATTGCCGCCCGCTTTTGTCGTCGCTAATATTTCGCGATGGATTAAAGCCGAATAAAAGTATACTAGACGGCGTTGACATATTTTTTTAAACACTTCTCGACTGTCTATTCCCTCGTAAATCAGTGTAAGTGCAACAACAAATACATATACACGCCGCCCATCAAACGGCAGTTTTTTTTGTAAATTACGAAAATTAACATTTATCGTAAAATTGTGATTACACAAATATTTTCTAATTACGCGTGTTGCAATTAAATGCGAAACGGTGTTGTTTTAATATCGCGTCAATTTAGTGTAGATCGCCTAAATATAATTACCGAGGGCTTTTCTTAACCTCAAGGTTCAATTATCTCTCTTTCGTTCCATATTCATGCAGGAAATATGTACGTCGTTGATAAACGCAAGGTGATAAGTTTGATTGGCGCGGGTTCTAGATAACTCGGTCGTAATAGCCTGTCCTTGTAATGACGTGGAACACTGAAACGACAATGTCAATATCGCGTAATTGATATAACACACCGCCGCACGTAGCGAGTTAGTAATTCAAACGACGTGGAGATGCAACATCGCGTTCGACACAATATGTGAAATTTATTGCGCGTTGTTGTCGGCGCATACATGCAATGTGGAACATGTCGAATGAACGGTAGTTCCTCCATGCGTATACAGCTCAGGTTTACTCTCTCTTTACCCTGTACGAATTTGTAAGAGCGACACTTTCTCAGCAGTTCGCCGCGATTTTTCGCAGACGACAAATTTGCGTTTAAAACCTGCACGATCTCTCGAGAATAAACTTGCGGTTCTTCCGTTCGAAAGCGTACGAAAGCATTTTGAGGCGAAACTAGTCGGATATGCGATTTGCAAGCTACACGAGAGACCGGCGTAAATCTTTTAAACGAGAATCAACTCACAGCGGTAACTGTCATTAGTCGTCGTCCCGCCAGAGCGTTCCGTCCGAGCGTTCTCTCCGCATTTTCACCGAGATTTCGAGCTCCGACCATCGCGCCGACGCCGCTGATCAAATTCGCATCGGCCTTAATTTCATTTCGCGCTCACTACGCGAACAAATTGGAGCGTTCTTTCGCGCGGAACGCGCTCTCCCGAATTCGCGAAAGCTCTCTCGTTAATCAACATTCGTTTCGGCCAGGCAAATCTCACCAGAAGCGCGGTTCTTGTGCGACGAACAATTTTCCCGAGAACAATGCTGTTCTTTTATCCCTCCAAAGTAAACGAATATATTTTCTCTCCGGGGAAAAAAAATTACAATCCGCGGCTTCTTCTCTGATCTTAAAAAAATGCACTAATTTCCTCAATATATTTCTTAGCACGTTGATTAATTGTGTTATTTATTACTAGATAGAATAACAACTGCATAAATCCTTTGCTTTGTAAAAATATCTCTGTAACAGAAATAATGTGATAAAGAAGAATAATGAGAATTTAATTTGCGCGCTGTGTTGTATATATGTACACACCGGTAATCTTCACTGTAGTGAAGGGACGAGTCGGGTTCTATTTCACAGGACAAATAAGCGAAGTGTGTGTCGCCGGCAAGCTGCAGGATACTCGCCTACATACGAGACGCAGCAGCAGCCGGGACTTATTGGTATGCATGAGACAAGCGCAACGGGTCATAGCGCCCCTTTAATGCACCCCTAGCCCTTTGCCCCTGCCTGTTCTCGGTCCATCCTGCACAGAGACTGTATAGAACGCTGCTCTCTCTCTCTCTCTTTCTCTCTCTCTCTCTCTTTCTCTCATTCACTCTCACTCTTCCCCGCGACACGAAAGCCCCGTGTACTTTGTCACCTCGCCGGTAACTTCGCCAGCTACTTGCCCGGGGATCGCTATTATCACCCTTAACCGCGACACCGTGCGGAAGATGGAGCGTGTATAGGAGCATCTCCGCGCAATCACGGTCGCTGGCTGGTACCGCGCGCAAAGACGACACCGTGAATTGGAATTCAGATTGAAACCGTAAGGGAGAGTTTTAGTCGGGGAAGCGATTGTTGCGCTATTACTGGCATTGAATATTAATCTCGCCGATAGAATAGCGAGACGTTTTCGAGAAATTTTCTCTCGAATGCGATAAAAGTAAAACTTTCGGTTCTATTGTTATTTGTCACTTGTCTTTCTTTCGTTCGTGATAGGCGGCAAATGCAACGGTGAAAAAGTAATGATGACATCAGTAGCGTGTACAGAAAATATGAAGCTTTGCGGGAGATAGAGAAAGAGAAAAGGAAAGAGAGAAAGAGAGAGAGAGAGAGAGAGAGAGAGAGAGAGAGAAATGTGGATATTTAAGTAGATCGCGCGCCACACTTTTGCTATTGATCGAGACTCGGCCGTAAAAATGTGACGCGGATAAAAAGCGGATATGATCGTAAAGAGGTCGGGTTTTGATGTACGACCCGGCATGAGCAACCCCGACTCGCTTATGTTGTATCTGGCGTGAGGTCGCGACTGGATGTCCGACGGCAAGAAGAGAGGCGACATTTCTGCACGACCCGACTCATCCCGACTGTGTTTTACGAGCATCTCTCTAACACTGACGAGAGATGCGTCTCTCATCTCCCGTGAGTAGATCGTAGATGATCTTGAGCGACGTCAAAATTGCAAGTGTGCTGCTTGCGCACGTCCTATTTTTTTACGGCTTGTTCTTGGAAAAGTGTTGTCTCGAATGGAAACTCAATTGAGGTTAATCGAAAATCCTTTTCTCATATTTTGAATAAAAAAAAAAAAATTTGCTTAAATAAAGATTACACTAGAGTGAAGAGATGAGATTTGCGAAGACATAAATTTGGACACTTGATTAATTTTCTCTAATACAATTTGAGAAAATAACGTAAGATATAAACAAAAATACCGTAACTCTATTGATTTGCTTTCGCGGATATTATAAATATTCGCAGAGATCATGATCTTACTCGCAAAGTTGGTCCGTCGCTTCTGATTCTACGGAAGAATGCAAATATTCTCAAGTATTTTCTCGAGTAAAGCTTGCCACTTTGTTCGAGAGCTTTGAATGTAAATTGCCGGTTTGCGCTATTTATACATTGACCGAGAATGAAATAGTCGTTGAAGAAGTAAACAACATGTAGCGAATGCAATTCAAAAGTAGAACGTGTGTTGAAGTTGTTGAACACTTTAATTGTTGAACACTTCATCAGAAAGCACGTAATAAACCGTGAAAGACAGAGTGCAGATACTTGTCAATAGAAATTATACTTTATCCATACATTTTCAAAAAAAAAAAAGAAAAACTGTATTAAGTGAAAAATTTGTGGCAAAATATATCCAATTCCTTTCTTTTTCTCTCAGTTTTGCTTAAAAATAAAATATTTTTACAATAAAATTGAAAACAACAATTTTTTAATTTAATTTTGAAATATTCGAGACATCTGTTCGAGATCGAAGTATCATTGCAAGATAAAACATATTAATTTGTGGCAATATATCCAATTTCTCTCTCTCTCTTTGTTTTATTTAAAAAATATCATTTTCACAATAACATTTAAAAAATTAATTTTTTTCAATTTAATTTTTACGAAATCTCTGTGATATCGTTGCAAAATTAAACACTTTTCTCTCGCTAATATTTTGCTCGTTACAGCTATATATATATATATATATATATATATATATATATATATAAGTATATATATATATAATCTACACTTGTATGCTCACACTATTCCGTAGCGCGCGCATCTTCCTTATAACTATTACAACATCGAGCCCTTTTAAGTATCTGAGAGAGAAAAAGAGCAAGGAAGAGAAAGAGAGCACATGTAACCGGAAATAGCTGTGTGAGAGTCTCTGTAGTACTGTCGCGTCGCACGAGAGACGCGCGAGAAACTTCGTTAACGAATCCCACAAATGCCTAAGACGATACATCAGCATAATTGGCTTGCTGACGCGCACGACACCGGATTCGTCTTCGAAGATTCTACGGATGTAGACGAAGCAAGTCGAATATACAGATACCGCATATCCTACACGCGCCGTTACATGCTCCGTTACACGCCAATTTAAATTTCTACTATATTGACGAGTGTAATATTATATTGCCCCCCTAGATTAATTACATGTATACAGTGACACAAAAAAATTGCTGCAAACATATTTTGTCATTAAATATAATTGAGTACAATATACAGTAATATTACAGATTATCACGTTTTATCATTGTTGTAATGCATCTGCAAAAAATAATATTCAACGTGTATGTGAAGACAAAAAATCCAAAGAATCCCGCTTGATTTTCAGACTGTTACCGTAGGATATAGCGCAATCGACTTTCGATATAACTCGATAGCAATTTTTATATGAGACATGATTCAACAAGACGCTTCTTTCCCGCCACGCGACATTCCGTCTCCCTTCCCTAAATATCCGTACCCAATACGGAAAAATCCAAATCCAAAAAGGCAGTTTTATTACGTCAAATACCGCGACGCATTCTCGGTACATTCTGTCACCGAAATCGCGCCCATTGCCCGCCATTGTCGTGCACATTTTCCAAAGGGCCACGGCGCTCCCGGACCGCCGTTCGCGCTATTGTATCTCCACGACAATGGACTGATGAGCCGGTATTGTCGAACTCATCGAACTCTGTTTGTAGCGCATCCGAAGGGATGGGTGACACGACGAGTGAAGGTGAAGAGGAGGTCGTTGCGTTTGTCTTCGTGAGAGACGCGTTGCATCCAACGCGAAGAGAATCGGTGGGTTTGATAGTGCAGGGATAGTCAGTCGGCTCGAGTAGTTTCGAGCGGCTGGTCAAACACTCGCTTTCGATATCCACCCGCCAGATCCGTAATCCCGAGGATTAACTCGAGACGTAACGCGCGCGCGCGTCGTATTTCCTTCATCACGAAGACTCTTGACTGCAAGTTGTACACCCGCCGTGAAGAGACAATGAACGCGAAAGCGAGCACGCAAGATATTGCACCCTCGCAATTTTCTTTGTGAAGCGAAGAAAAGTAAATAAAGCGGATGCACTCCGCAAGAAAGCAATTACGCCGGCGCGCAAAGACTTTAGACACGAGAGACGACGCACCATTATGAGTGCGCGTGACAAATATCCGAAGAAAAGCGAAAACCACGAAGTTATTGCAAACAAAAAAAAAGTGAAAACGGGAATACACGATATTTCGAGTTACATCGTCGAGTCACGTCGTTGCTTATTTCTTGATAAAATATTAAAGCGAACAAAATATTCACACATCTAAAATTGTAGATGTTTGTCTGAAATTTTGATCAACGTTCGCAAATTAAAAATTGATGCCGCTTCGAACTTCTTTCGATGAAGAGCAATATTTGAGTGTGCAATTTGCGAACGACTTGTATATTTCTTTCGAAACGAATCGAAGGTTCGACGCGAAACAAAATATCTTGTCGTGGATGAATTTCTTCTCACCGAGACTTTTCGCACGATTATTTACGCGGACAATGAAAAATTCTCTTTCTCCGCGCGTTATTATACGGGTTGTTGATTGACGCAATGCTTTACTTTAACGTGCAGCGCGACAGAATTTTACAGAGTAGAGAAAAATATTCAAGTTGCGCAAGAAACGCTAATTTATCATATTGCGTTATTAATTTAAAAGTGATGTAAGTCGAGACGAGGAAAGATGTGGTGAATAAATGACAAAAATGCTTAATGATATTGGCCGGCTTGTTGTTGTAAACTTAAGATTTGAAATTGAAAGACTTGTGCGAGTAGTAGAAATTGTAACCGCGCGCTCGGCTGAGAAATGACATACTTTTACTACTTACGCGCGCCGTACGTATATTTTCTCCGAATAAATATTGTAAGAAAATGTTCTCACATAACTCTTTTTTATCTTTAATATATTTCAAAGTCAGTATATTAATAACGTCATAAGCGCGTTACCGTGTACATTATATGTGTGTGTGTGTGTGTGTGTGTGCGCGCGCTCACGATATTGAATTTTTACAAAATAAAGAGCGAATTTCTATCATTTGCATCATTCTCTCGAGTATAGTTTTGCTTTTGTAATTGTGAAGATAACAATAAAATTATTACGGTGCTTCCGTAAAACTAAATTGATATTCAAGTACGTCTGTATCACTATGTAAAAGGGATTATGGAAAACGATACGATTGGAAATTTGAATCTCATAAAAAACAAGGGTGGACGCGATCGTGGAGGGCAAATCGCGAGGGTGGTCCGAAAGATCGAAATACTTTATACTCCTCATAAACAAAGCCTCCTTCCCGATTTCACGATTCTCTCAGGACGCGTCAGACGAGCTTTTTACACTCCCTCCGCGTCGTAAATCTTCGCTCTCGCATTAACGGCAATGCGAAAGCTGGTAAGAGCTTTCGCACGAGCGCGCACGCAGGTATCTCGAATTTGTTCTGGACATTTCCACTGTTTATATCATCTCGTGCCTTTCTCTGACCTGATAATTTTGCGAAAGAATTTGTTTCCTTTTATCATTGCAATTTACCTTTTTCTGTTTTGCTTCTCTATTATTATTCATTGCATTGCACTTTATCACAACGTAAAGATAAGACTTAACGCGCTGTTAATCATTTAAATAATTTTTGCTAATTGTTTAAATAAGTAACTATAATTAACGAAAACTCACATTTTAAATTTCGCATAATTTATATATTTGTATAATAATTAAATTCAAAGTGAAATTGAGTCACTACACCGAGATAATTGTGTTACTTACTCCCAACGTAACGCGGACTGGCGATTGCCGGGCAAGTCATTGAGCAATCTATATTTAGAGTCAACTTAACACGCGGGCCCTGCCCGCATGAATATTTCAACGATTAATTAACTTACCTTCAAGGGTGGCCTCGTCGGGTCTTTCCGCAGCTCCGCAAAGCGCGCCTCAAAACTGTCGTCCCAATATTCTCGACTCCGCATCCATGAGGGCTGCAATATAGAGCGAGCAACTCGTGAGAAATTCGTGTTACTCGTTTATGATAAACGTTGCGAAAGTAACGCGTGTATATTTGCACATCTTATTTACAAGTTTAATTTGACTCTTTTTTTTTGTTTTTTTTTTTAACATCTACAGTAAATCGCTCACAATTTATTTTTCGCAGACTTGATAGATGTTATTTTATCAATTTACGTTAAAATGTTAAATCTCACGACAACATTCTTGTTGAATTAAAACAACACTTGCCAGCCGACAAAATCCGACTCTCGTTTCTTCCGCGACCTCGCGTGCATCGTTTCTCCTTTTCGCCCCGTGCTAATAACGGCTTTATCGCGGTAATAGTTTTGACGCGATACCTCGTCGATAAGGTAAACGCACATAACAAACTCGCGATGACGTTGACTTAACACGAAAGCATTGCATCCAAGAGTTTTGCGCGCCTCGCGCGCGCGACAAGTGTTTTTTAGATAACACCCGATAACGCGCCACAATTGTGTTCGATAATTGAAAAAGAAATTGTTGTGAGATATATATCGTTGAAACGAAATATTCTACCGCGAGAGCAACGATTATAAATATCCAAATCAGTTTTCAAGAATAATCACACAACAATGATTATTATTGAAAAATCGACAAACAAGTCAACTTCTCACTACAAAACGCCAATGTCGATTGAACTTGCTCCAAAATTCAAAAAGCTTTTCGAATTTGCCTGTTGAACATACGTGTGTCGGTCACAGATCGATCGCGTATAAATTTCTATCGTTATATACACGTCGCAATCTGTCTTCTTAGGAAATACTCCCAACGCTACAATTTCGCATAAATATCTTGCACGGTACACATAAAGTATATTACACAAAATATTATTTTTTCTTTCTAGAAGCGTATCTGTGAAGGCGCAAGTAGACCACTAGAGAATAAACCGGACAAAAACATCGGTTGTTCCATCACTGAGAAATTGTGGAACACCCGATATATATGAACGGCAATAATACCATCTGAATACCTAGGACGCGAATAGGTTCGAGGATGGGAAGTAATGAAGTAGAGCGAAATTGGAATTCGCGAGGAATCCGATTCCACCGGTTCTAAACATCGATTACGCAAGTCCGAACGTGCGCCGCGCTACACACTATGGATACCACGAAATTCGAAGACTCCCGGGTTTCGGCGCACCTCGTAACCGCAGAAAATCCCGAGCGGCCGGCCAGTGGAAGCGATATAATTTCAATCGGCCATTAAATTTCGACGCCGCTACCTGCTTCATACCTGCCAATCAAGATAATGTTTTAACGGCCGAAACGTTATTCCGAACGCGACCGCAAAGCTCGAATGAGCGCAGTAGCGTAGATTTGGAGGTCCCCGATGTTGATAATTAATCACTCGACGGTGTATTCTCGATGGTGGTGGGTCGCGATAGGCAAAATACGAGTTTTATAAATCAAATTTGCGTTGTATATTGAATATCGCGAATTATAATACGAGCAATAAATATTACAGATAACAAATTAAGATTGATGAAACTTTTAAAACGCGGAAGGAAAAAAAGAATATCAGATATCGACTACGCGATGGGCGTAGTGCGAAATCAGTTTCTTAAAATTCGAGGATCTTTTTGCAAGTCGGTGTGAATTTTCACAGAAAATATTGTATAACGACGATGTGTAAACACACAATTATTCAATTAAAACAAAGTGAAAGCGACCGATCGTGAGAGATGTCTGTCTTAATTTCCACCAACCGAGCGAATTAATCACCATAAATCCGAGATCGACGGCGAAGATAAAGCCGAGTCAAAATTAAATCCCAAGTGAAGAGCTCGCCAACGAGCTCCAAAGGCGCTCTTCCTATCGAGATATATCCTCCCCCGGAAAAGTCTTTCTTCCACGAAGCTCTACGATTATCCGGCGATCGGTCGAGCTTTCTTGTAACGGAGCTTATCCTGCCGACGTTAATTAAACATCGAAAAGCTTCGCTTCCTAATCCATCGACTGAGGTAGTTTCTTTCACCCGGGATTATTTCGTGGAATGAGGGAGAGAAAGTATCTTCTCTCGATCGGATCTTTCTCTATACATCTCTTTTTTACCCCCTCTTACTTGTATCAAATCGGTTTAGAGATACTTTTTGGATTCATCAATCGAATACTCTCTGCTCTTAATTCCTCGTCAACTTTTAAAACAAATTAAAAATTGTTTTTAAAAATAGTATAGATCTCTTTTTGCGGCTTAAATATTAATTAATTGAGTTTTTAATATTTCACTTTTCATTTGTTTATCGCGCAAATAGACTATTTGGAAAATTTTACAAAATAATCAAGATTAAAAGTTTCATAGATATACTTCAATTTATAAAAGCATGCAAGTATATATATACGAGTTGATACAAGTTAATTAAGATAGTTTAGTCTTTACTGCCAATTTCGAGGAAACCGCAACGACATCCGTTGATTGCGAGAGGGAAAATGTTATCTCGCTCCAACTGCACTTTAACTATCCCCCGTCCTGCTTTCTTTCCGGTAAACAGGAGCGAATGAAGATGAAACGGTGTTACGTAGTGTATCCCGGAAGAAGAGAATATTTCCTCGGAGGATAGCGATCTTAGGAAGATGCTGCGGGGATGAGAACGAACGGACGGATCTTAAAGGGATATCGAAGAGTAACGCTATCTTATCGACACAAGTCCCGCAGGAGACCTCCAGGCAATTGCGTATACGGTTTTTACAGGAGCCACTTTATCCATTTTAGCGGAAACTCATTACTCGCTCGATTCGTGTAGGTGCTGATTGGCTTTTTGTTTTTCTTTCACATACAACTCAGTTTAAAACAACGACGTTTTTTCGAACTCATGATTATCAATAATGCTCGAAATTTTCACGCATAAACAATTTAATTAACTAATCCAAAATTCACTATTTTGTTTAATTTTCTAGTCGTATATGTATTTGTTTATTAAAATACAATAATAGTTTGTTTTAATTTTTTGATTATATTTATGTTATTTGTATGATTACGTATCCACAAACAGTAATAAATAAATATTTTTTCTGCAAAAACTAATAATTTTATGTAATGCACTGATTTTTAAAAACATCGGACTAAATATTATCTTTACAGTTTTTAAAAACATCGGACAAATATCCTTGCAATCAGAAAGGGATAATTCGGCGCCTCGCAGGATTAAATTTCATTAGTTTTCATTTGCGCTAGTGCTCGTTAATGTGCGCGCAAACGTGTACAGTGTGGTACCGAAGTTAATGACTGCACAGACGATGTATACGACGACGGGGCGGGATCGTTGTGAAATCGATCGAACTCGAATGCACGGAATACACCAAATACCGCCGCGTCGATTCGCACGTTTCATGCGAAATCTACTGCACTCCATAGGCCACGAATGCAGCAGCTTCGGAATAAGTTTGCGAACGCGGCGCGCAGTAGATTGACGTCCATAGATACTCGACGATCGATTCACGCGCGGGAGCTTCGCCGACAGTCTATTCAAAGTCAAAGCGATAGATGAGATCGGTGGCGGATTAACGATCATACGGCGCTCACCTCATTTGATTTCGGAATACACACGAGTATCCCGAGATATACACGCGGAAAACTTTGAGTTTTATCCGTTCAAATATCTCTATCTCAAAATACACGTAGATAATGATATTTATTTGAGAAACATATATGCGAAACATTAAAGAATAAATATTATTCTCGTATTTTGAGAAAAATTAAAAAAACAAATTTTCTTTTTTTGAGAACAATCAAAGAATAAATGTTATTCTCATATTTTAAATCATTAAAACATAAGGATTTTTGTATTTTCGGTCGGAAAGTCTAAAAAATAAATAGCATTTTTTTTTTTTAATGTACTCGCTGATTTGTGCGAGTCTTTTTCAAGACTCGCTTCTCTCCGTATCCTTGTGGCCTGAAGCACTCTCAATAATAGATAAATAGTAGTAGTTTCTGCTGCTCTTACGCGTATGTAAGAACTCTTTCGTGCAATTTGCGGAAGTACCTTCGCGTCATTTCACCAAAATGTTATTTTCGTTCGTAAAGCCGACCAGCAGGCGTTGCCTTGTACGGGAGAGAGCACAGCTTTAACTTGGATGTATTGCATTTTTGCAAGTAGATTACGGCAAGTGCCGCGCGGCTAAAAGACGACCGTGACGGTAAAAGCGTTTCTATCCTTAAAAACTGCACGAACTGTACTATACTTGCACGGCCTGAGGCGGCTCTCCTCTCCTTGCACTTTGACCACAAGGTATAATCGTCACGGTCGTCGAGCAGCGTCGATAATCTTATTTGCGGCATGAAAAAATATAGTCGAGCTTTACAAGCGACAAGATGCGCGGCAAAATTACGTATATTCCTGAACACATTGTGGAAAAAAGATTTAACAGAAGGTCTTCGCAGAGTTTTTCGCAGTCACGTTATTTTACTTGTTTTTTCGTTAAAAAAAAAATCGAACAATACGACTAAATAAAACTGGAACTTTTAAAAATAGACTCGTTTTTAAAAATGTAGAAAAGCAACGTTAACAAAAACCTGTTTCGCGAAAAACTAAAAAAGGCTCTTAAATACAACGAGTGTAAAAAAATCCGACTCAAGCCATTGATAACGAAAGAAAGATTTTCCCCGAGAGCAAGCGAAAAAAGACGTTAAAAGAGGTAATTATACATCGCCCCGGAGTGCGCTTCCCGCCGCGAAAAATAAATTCACGACAGAACAAGGTTCTCTTTCTCGAACAAGAATCCGTTCGACGGCAGTTTACAATCCCCCGGAGGAGCGACAATTCTACGAGAGAAATTCGATATCGAGCGCGACGGGGATGGGAGAGAAAGTAAAGGAAAGGGGAGGAACAGAGCCGCGGGCTGCCACGAGAAGGGGGAGAGGGTGACGCTCCCAGGTTTATTTTCCCCCTCGTCGTCGTCGTCGTCGTCGTCGTCGTCTAATAGCGCGTCAAAGGAGACACGTAAACGACGGCAAT